AAACCTTTCGGCTACGAGCCTAACTCTCAGAATGTGGCTTGCGAAACGAGACTTCCAGAACCAACCGTTTGCATCGACTAGCACTTACTTCTCTATCCTTATGACTCGTCACTACATACTTTGTCAGTCTCCTTGGCACTGTTTCCTGTCTCAAACAAACTCAAAGAAATGTGCCGAAAATAATTTTTTGCCCTTTCTACTTGGTACCAATAGATTTGAAAAGTTTGTGATACTTCAACTTAAATTTTCACGAAGGGAGTAGCAGCTTACCTCATAAATCATGCAGTAAATAAAAATGGATGGAGGTGTTTGTTCCATCCTTTCCTGCAATGTTGGAATGCATCATATAAAAGGCTCATCAAGACGTTCCATTCAAAATTGCAAATGTATTCGAATGCAATCCTGCTCATGCAAAGCTCTGCAGAAATCCTTCAATACCTTTTCTTTCGAGTCCTTGCAGGGTAATTCGGCCGTTGTGAAGTTTCACTGTTACAACAGATTAGCCTTAAATACGAGTGATTTATCTCACTTTCATCGTTTTGCCAAGTACTTGTGCAATCAAGGACATCTTAAAAGTGAGATTCCCAAAATCTACACTCCCTTTCAAAGTTATTGTGAGAGTGAAAGGTGGGAGCTGCTCGAATGAAGACCATTCATTCTTGCTCAGGTTTTCCGCTTTTGTAATTGTTCTTAGTTTTCGTTTTTCTCATAAAATGATTGACCTGAGCATCGCGGTTATCCTAAACTGAATTGATCTTGAGGGCAGGTTCGAAGCAGGTGTTTTAGCTGTGAGGGATACCTAACATCCGAAAATTCAGTTTCGGATTCCGTACGTATGCTCCGAGCTCGTCTAGGAGTGGCGTTATCCCTAGCGCCATCCGCCTATCTAGAGTCATCAGTGGTGAACACGTGGTCTGCTCAACAATTCTTCTGATTGATCAAAAATTATATTTTTCTCTCGTTGCATAGTAGCTTCTTTTCCTAACGAGTTAAGGTCGTCAAACTTTATTTGCACATTGGTATTCTACTGCTATGATATAGCGCACCTTATGCTGCATTAAATAAATAAGTAAATGGCTTGGATAGTGTATAATACAGAGGGTATTTCAAATATTTCAAAAAAAATTCCAAAATTACAGAAAATCCAAGTATTCCAAAAATTCCAAAAGTTCCAAAAACCAAAAACAATTTGAAAAAGAATTCCTTTGAAATCTCCGCGATATTTCGGTGTATAACACCTTCTTCAGGCATGTGTTTGCCACAGCCAAGTATAAAGCTGCCCTTCACGGGAGCCGCGCCGTTGGAGTGGAATTCTTTTCTTTTCTCTCCAACTTTTCAAAGAAAAAATTCAACTCCAATGGCTCGTAAGGGCAGCTTTATACTTGGCTGTGGCAAACCTGACTAAGGTGTTATGCACCGAAATATCGCGGAAGATTTCAAAGGAATTCTTTTTCAAACTGTTCTGCCTTTTGGAATTTTTTCGAGTTTTTGGAATTTTTGAATTTTGTGAACTTTTGGAATTCTTTTTGAAAATTATGATGCTCGTCATATACGATATTGTGATGAGGCCCCGGAAACACAATACTGAGGGGAGTAAATGAGTAATGAGAGTAATGTTATGTAGTATGATTTTTGATCACACAGTGGATAGGAACGGTATCAATAAAAAAAACTGTATGAATGAATGGAATTGATTATGCGCTTTATTGAGCCAGTAAGACGATATGCGATCGGCAACGATATTTTTGGAGCTCACACTACCTCGCTACATTAGAATCAGATTTCTCAAATCTTCACCATATTTGCCATCAATGACCGGGTATTTTGTAAATCGTTACGTTTGTAGGTCGCTTAAGCTGTTCTGCAGTTTCGAATACATCTTAGAGGCAAAGGTCGGAATTAAATCCGTACAATATTTTCATCAAAAAATAAGAAAAGAACTGCAATGAGTAACGTTATTGGGAGGAACGTCCTCAACGGTCATAGAAGTTACTAAATTTTGCTGCGAGCTAGGCGGTGGTAGCATGGAGAGACACAGAGCTGCGAGGAGAGGGAAAACGTAAGAGAGCGCGTTGTACGCGAGTGAGCGTAGATGCCACAATTGCCACAGTTGCTAAGAATGGCAGCACGGCAGCACACAAGGCAAGCCCTTACCAGGAAAGGCATTCAACTTCCCATGGAACTTTGAGATGAGACCCAGATATATCGATAGAGCTTCAAACGCTGATTACAAATATGGAAACTAAAACTGCAAAATGAACCTGCCAAGGAAGTTGTGAGCAGTCAAAGTTGGCTGGAAGTAAAGCATTACACTAGCCTCCGGGCTTTCAAAGTCGCCGTGGAGTAGTGGTAGTGCTCTCGAATTTGCACTCCAACAAGGAGACCTTATGGCCTCCAGAGATCAGCGTTTGGAGCTCTATGGATAAAACTGGGTCTCAATTCGAAGTTCCGTGGGTATGTGGCAGTTTCAAATACGCGCCATCGGTGACTAAGCCTTGGTAGAGCAGACGAAAACAGCGCCGCGCCATCGCGTGCTCCCCCCGAACCCGGGTTTCACCACAATATTTTCTTTGATTAAAGGACAGCTAGTAGCGGCATTATTTTTGAAAAAGGGGAGAACGCTGAAGGAACTATGGAGCTAGAACAAGGAACTATGGTTATCTATGGGAGAAATTCATTTTCGATTTCTTATTGATACTTCAGACCCTCGCACTAGATTCGCTGTGATCCTCGTGTGTCGCGATGTTTCCAATCATCCATCGCCTAATACCTGGCAAAAATTGCAAAGGTTACCATTATCTTGTTTTTTTACAAGCTACACCGTTGTTATTAAATCGATGAGATTACGACATTCCTACCATCCGTATAATTTAATGCCGCTTGTTATCTGAACTCCAGAATTATGCGGCCACTCAAGGGTTGTTTTTCAGAGGTTTTTTTTCCAAGAACGTGCTGCTCCCATGTCTAGTGTGCCTTTCCTTACAACGGCACAAAAGTAGTTTTACTTCTTGCTGAATCTAATGCAATCCACTGCGGAATGCTATGATGTATGATGGTAGATTAGCAATTGAGCAATTATGTTGTTTTGCTCAATAGCTTTTTGCTTTCCATTTTTACTATTGAATTGTCCACCGATATCTGTCCCCCCCCCCCGAGAAAATGAAAGCAAAATCTAGCACAGGCAGTAAATTTCGCAAAATCAGTTTAAAAATTGAATAAAAGCTATTTCCAGGGACATGAACGTGCAGCAATTTATTTCTTATGGATCTGTGGTTATATTCGTTTCGGGGGCGGTGATAAATATCATTTTCATCTATGTGATTAGAAACGGAACACGAAACTCTGTCGGTCAAGTCTACAAAAATATCATGACATGTTTTGCAATTTGCAACATCGTGTTCGCTACGATGGAAATCATTGCCAAACCTGTGAGTCGCCTTCATCACAGCATCCATTACGCTTACTATTTTGAAGAATTGATTGAGTGATAGGGTTTGACTTGGTCGAATTAGTGGTGTGGCTAAGGTCGTCGATGAAGTTCTCTTATGGTTCACTAAGGCACCTCGGCGGATGCCGCGAGAGCCACATTGTTGGCCAGCAGGGTTTGAATCGGTCGAGGGTTTGTCGAGGATTTTTGCCTGTTCAATCTGGGTATTCACTCTCGCCGCGCGAATCATCTGTGCTCTCTGCACATACGTTCATTCTCGACACTATCTCATACAGTACAGTGTCATGGTCGAGGAGTCCTTGACAGTTATTCTCCCTGTTGGCTAGCCTGATAATCGCTGGAATGGAATAAAAAATCTCCTGTTTTGGATTCCTCAAATCCGTGTTACATAATGATTTAGGCTATCCACATATATGGCACCTCTATAGCTGTACTCAGCAATGGCATCTTTTACGGAGTGAAACCGTGGGGATTTTTATCACTCTGCGCGTTCATAGGAATGTATGGTGTTACCACTGCTCTTCTAACCCTTCATTTCGTCTACAGATACATTGTCGTTTGCAGGTCAGTGTTGTGTATAGCTAGTAGAACAACATGAGAAAATCAGTGTTTTGCGCCATATTTCCAGGCCACATTTGATCCGTTTATTCCACGAAACGACCTCCATTGTTGTCGTGACTTTATCTGTTCTTTGCTGGGGTTTTCATATGGCTTTATAACATTCATTTGTTTTGGTGCCAGTGAACACTACTACAAATATGCCAATGCGTCGATTTATACAAAGTACGGGGTAGATGCCAACGAATTGTCCTTTTTCTGCGTCTTCACCCACGTAGGTTTCGAATGGTCTCAAGTATTGTAGAACATCGGTTACAAAGTATAGTAATTGTGAAGTGTTTTTCAGGAAGTACAAGGAAACGTCACAACAATACACTGGTCATCTACGATAGGCCTGGGCATGATCTTTATAATGATGATAAGCACATTTGCCCTCATGATAGTCTGCGGCTTCCGAATGTATCTAACACTGAAGAAATCTTCTTTGAGCCAAAAGTCAATGAAGATGCAGACTCAGCTGTTGAAAGCGTTGGTTGTACAGGTACACATACTCAAAAAACATTTGCTCAAAATATGACCTTTTTCGAAATTAAAAAAATTGCATTTAGGCAGTCATTCCATTTTTCACTTCATATTTGTCTCGAATTGCGATGTATACCAGCGTCGTTATAGGACTTCGCCCACTTCCGTAAGTGATTTTGTTTGATTTTCTAACAGCTGCGAGAAATATTGTTGTACGAATAATGGTTGTCGATAAATGGTAGCTATTGCCAGCAATTTTCTATGAGTTTTGGAATCCTTGTTGGTGCTTCATTAATGTGGAGCATAACGTGCGAAAACTGCTTCAATGGCTTAGATTTTGGAAATAGGAATCATGAATAGTCTAGTCACTGACAACATGTTGCAGCTCTCGGCATGCGGGTCCAGCGCCATCAGTGGAAACTGACCGGAAAATATCTCTTGACCTAATTCAAAGAAGCAGCTTATTTCATGACAAATTCAAGCATTTATCGTGATGACTATACACTGCGTCCCATAATTATACGTCCACCTAAGAATTTCCCAAAATCTCAGAAATATAGATGTTTCGAAAAAGTCTCCAATGTGACAATGTATCGCATATAAATACGAATTGCCTATGAACATCAATTTTCTATTTGAGATCACAGGAATTTTTTCCAATAATTTTTGTGTAAAAGGCCACTCAGCCGACGTCCCAAAATTATACGTCCACCTCACGTTTATCGATTACTTTTCACTTCTGTTCCACGAAACTTTTTCATTGTGGTAACACTTCACTTCTTAAGGGGACAGCATAATAAAAACTGCTGTTGGATTTTGAAGAAAGGGTTAGGTTGTCGCAAAAACTGTTGAACAACGCAATTCGCACCGTAAACTTTGGACCGATTT